CCTCAATTTAGCAAGACCTTGGCTCAAAAAAAAATAAAAGGCCTGGGTATGTAGCTCAGTGTGAAGTCCTTGGGTTCAGTCCCCAGTACTGGAGGAAAAAAAAAACAAAAGATGAAATCAATTAAAGAGGCATCTGTTTTCCCTTACTCTTCAAATCTGTACTGTTCTTTGAGAGCTGTATCATATTTGTACAGTGAAAAACTTGGAAAAGATTATTTCCTGAGTGCTTTCTTAGAAAAGGTAAACAATAAGATCAACTTGTCCTTTTTAAAAAATTGTTTATTGGTACAGTTTAGATACACACAATAACCACATTCATCATAAGGAACTTGTACCTGTATGTGCTGTATCTTAGTTCCTCTTTTCTTCCCCATTCTCATCTCCTCTCCAACCCTTCTTACTTACAAAGCTTGTTTCCATTTTATCCTCCTTTTCCTCATTTTGTGTTTCCCCTCCGCCTCATTCCCCCTTTGAACAGTTACTTCCTATTTCCCAATATCTATTACACATTTTGGTTCTTATTTACCCTTTCAGTTTCTTGCACCAGAAAGACAGTGCCTTTTTCTGAAATAAATAGTATTGCTTTCTTGGAGCACAGGAAGACTTTTTTTTTCAGTACTGGAAATTGAACCCAGGGCTTTTGCACTGAGGTATATCTGAGCCCACCTTTTAAGACAGGTTAACACTTGGTAAGGCTGGGCTTGAACTTGGCCACGATCCTCCTGCCTCAGCCTCACAGAGTGCTGGAATTACAGTGTGTGCCGTTTCCCTAGCTGTGATTGTTTTTGAGTCGATTGCAGTTATTTTAAGAAATTGTTTTATGGTGTAGCTAAGCAATAAAGTGTGTGCTGAGTAGGCATAAGGCTTGGATTCAATTCTAAATATTCCCCCCAAAATATTTAGGTGCATAACTGCGAAAGTTTTCTGGATCTCACCACAGTACTGGGAGAGTGGAATTCTTTCTCTAATGCTTTCAGTTTGTTGAGGGGAGTGAAACTGTTTTCCCTTCTCCCGTCTGCCCACTAAGAGTTCTGACTCAGCAATCAGAAAGTAAATAAGCTGGGTGCATGCTTGTAATCCTACCATGGGAGGCTGAGGCAAGAAGATTACCATGAGTTAGGGGCCATCCTGGGCTACAGTGAGTTAAGGACGGCTTAGCCTTAACCACATAGCAAGACCTTGTCTCAAAAAAATAAAACAAATAATAACCAGGCATGGTAGTGGACACCTGTGACCCTCAGTTGGGAGGCTGTGGCAGGAGGATCACCAAGTTTGAGCCCCGTCTGGGCAACTTAGTAACTTAGCAAGACCCTGTCTCAAAGTAAAATGCCTGGGGATGTAGCTCAGTTGGAGAGCTCTTGCCCAGTATGTAGGAGGCCACACACATAAAAGTTGGTCCATTTGGAATTCCAGCTTCTCTCTCCTATGTGAAGGATTCTTAGCCAGAAACCTCCCTTTGGTCTCAAGTAAATACTGTGGATTTGAATTGAATACAGCCTATATTTTCATATTTCTCCTTATCCCTTGAATTTGTCAGATTCTAAGGGTTCTGGGAGGTCAGACTCAGACCTCAGCTCCTTTTTTGGTCACACTGGGGAGTGTACCCAGACCCTTCACACTCAGCTACATCCCTAGCACTTTGTAATTTTATTTTGAGTCAGGGTCTTGCTAAGTTGTTAGGTGGCCCAGGCTGGGCTTGAACTCTGTCCTCCTGCCTCAGCCTCCCAGAGTGCTAGGATTACAGGTGCGGGTCCCATGCCCAGGTCGCCCTCCCCCCTTTTAAAAAAGACTTGCTTCATTTATGTGGTGAATATCATACCAAAACTGACCTCTGTTTTTCTGTCAGCCTCCTGTTGGGAGCAAAGACTGAGCGAGTCTTTCAACCAAAGAAGTAGAAAGTCGGGATTCACCTTTCAGAGCTGATCACCACCACAGGTGACTCTGGCGCTGTTCTGCTTGGTCTTATAATAGATGGTGGCTTCGGTTTTGATTCGTTGGGAGGAAGAAGGAGAATCCAGAAAACGCATGAAGTTGCCACGTTTGTTGTAGATGACAGTCATGGAGACTACGGCCCCTGCCTAAGCACTGCCCAGCATTTAAATCCCATGGTGCTCCCTTCCTCTCTCAGTGGGAAAAGTACACAGCCTCTTCTGTAGTCTGAATGCATGGATACATTCAGATACTTGTGTGACTAAAGAAACCCCTTTAAAAAAATGAATATAGGATTGATTTAAAAAATGTAATGCTTATTTTTGAAGCTATGGGGACATTTATACATTGTGTGTGTGTGTGTGTGTGTGTGTGTGTGTGTGTGTTTAAGACAGGGTCTTGCTATGTAGAATTGGCTGGCCTTAAACTCAACATGTAACCTAGGCTGGCCACAAATTCTTGGAGATCTTGCCTCAGCCTCCTCAGTGTTGGAACTCCAGTTGTGTGCCACCATACCCAGCTGCTGTTTTGTTGTCTGGTACTGAAGATTGAAGCTGAGGTCTTCTCATGGATCTACATCTCCAGCCTTTTTTTATTTTTTAAAATAAAAGGGTCTTACTAAGTAGCTAATTTGCTACAGGGTCTCACTAAGTAGCTAATTTGCCGAGGCTGGGCCCCAACTTGAGATCCTCCTGCCTCAGGCCTCCCAGAGTACTGGGATTATAGGCATGCACCTTGGCACCCAGTTGCACGTTGTTTTATTTTTATTTTTTAATTAATTAATTTATTTTTGTATCAGGAATTGAACTCAGGACCTTGTGTTTGTCAGGCAGGTGCTGCGCTGCTGAGCTATATCCCTGGCCCCATGCTGTGTTTTAAATTGGCAGATGAAGTTAGGTGTTTGAGAATGCCTAATAGTCACTTTATGGAGTGACTTTTATTAACCTAGGAAAGTTTTCTTTCAATGGAACGTTCTTACTTCCCTATGAAGGGGAATCCAGAAGCAGGCCCCAGTGGATAGGATGCTATTGTGGGACGGTGTGCATTGAGGTAATGTCTGTGCTTAATTTGGGGTTGGAAAGCAGCCTTCTGCGACCGTACACGAGCAGCTCATATTTGCCACAAGAGGGCGCAACATGTTCACATAGGGAAATTGCATCTTTGGGAAGCCCTGATGTAGTCTAGCTATTTTGCTTTATTCAAATTCTTAAGCAAAAAATAAATGTAAAAATGCTGGACTTAATCCACGTCAGTGTAGTCTGTTAACCACAGTGGGTATAAAGTGGAAAACCTTGCAAGGTCATAACTCTTGGCTGGGCGTGGTGGTGCACCCCTGTAATCTCAGCATTCAGAAGGCTGAGGCAGGAGGATTGCTGCAAGTTTGAGGTCAGCCAGGGCTACAAAGTGAGTTCAAGGCCAGCCTGAACTGCATTGTGAAACCCTGTCTCAGACCGAATTTTTTAAAAAAAAACATAACTCTTGCGTCCAATACCTGGTGATTTAAAGCAAAAAGATACCTGGGTTCAAAAAAAAAAAAAAATAAAATGTAGACTTTTTTGTTTTTATTTTTCATTATCATTATGATTATTTTGCAGTGTTGGGGATCAAACCCAGGGCCTTGTGCATGATGACCAATTGCTCCACCATTGAGTTATACCCCAGTCCGTCCTATTTATTTTGCAGTACTGGGGATTGAACCCAGGATCTTTACACTGAACGACACACCAAACTCTTTTTATTTTCAGACAGGGTCCTACTAAGTCGCTGAATTCCCTAGCTGGGCTTTAATTTACAACCCTCCTGCCTCAGCCTGCCAGAGTACTGGGATTACAGGAATGTACCATCATACCTATTTTTTTTTTCTTTTTTTTAAACAGGGTCTCACTATGTAGTGCAGGTTGACCTTGAACTTGCTAATGTAGCCCAGGCTGGCCTGAAACTCATGGTGATTCTTCTGCCTCAGCCTCCCAAGTGCTGGGATTACAGGCTCTAGCCACCACACCTGGGCCACATCAGCTTTTTAAACAGATTTTTGAGTAACTTTCAGTAAGACACCACAGGGCTAGGGATATAGTGGCACAGCGCCTGCCTGGCAAGTGTGAAGTCCTGAGTTTGATTCCTGTTAGCAAAAAACCAACAGTAAGATACCACAGGACTGGGGATATAGCTCAGTGGCATAAGCACCTGCCTGGAAAGTGCAAGGTCCTGAGTTCAATTCCCAGTACCAAAAAAAAAAAAAAGACACCACAATTTTAGACCATGCACACAAGAACAGTCGTGTTTAGAGTGCGTTTGCTAGCATTTTTACTTTTGCCCAAGGATATGTACAGCTTCTCAACGCTGTGAGCCTCAGCTAATCCTGGTCCTTTTAGGATGATTCAGGGGGGTCACGGTGAGCTCCTCCTGAGCCCCTTCTTTGCATGAGAGCCACCTGGAGACCTGTTAAGGGAAATATGGCTTAGAGAACAAGTTGATTTTTCATTATAGAAATCACAACTTTACATTTCTTTTGCAACTTATAATAAAATTTTCTTAAAGCATAAGAATCCACTACAAGACAGGGAACTGCTGCTGTTCCATAACATCAATGAATTATTGCGCTTTCTGGTGCATTTTTATGAAAGATCTACCAGGGAAATTTTTAAAATACATTGGGGTAATAGAGTATATAAAAATAGCTCGCAAGCTATTGAATGGCTCAGAGGTGTTTTGAGTACCTCATGGGACTTATTACAATAAAGCAGCTTGTTTGAATAAACTCCAGGCTTCGTCTTCATTAGATATTTCTGTTGTGAGCAAATCACTGGGCTAATACTCCCTCTCCCTCACTTAGGTCCTACCCGCAGTATTCAAAGTTTCCCTCAGATAGTTTTAAGATGACAAAACCTTATATGAATTTTTTTTTTTTTTGGTACCGGGAATTGAACTCAGGACCTTGCACCTGCCAGGCAGGTGCTTGCGTGGCTGAGCTGTGTATCCCCAGCCCTATGAGTTTATATAGAACTCATATCTTGCTGGTTGTGGCAGCACAGGTATGTAATCCCAGCACTCTGAGAGGCTGAGGTAGGAGGATCCAAAGTTCAAACCCAGCCTGGGCAACCTAGCAACTTAGAAGACCCTGTCTCAGAATAAAAAATAAAAAGAGATTTGGGGATATAGCTCAGTGTGAAGGTCATGTGCACACACATGCACACACACACACACAGAGAGTCATTACACTATCAAGCTTCTATCTTATGTGTACATTTCCACTCCCTTATCATTACTTTATGTTTGGAAACTTCGAGCTTCTCTCTTCTACTTATTAAAATATGTGAGGCCAGTTGTGGTGGCATACGCCTGTAATCCCAGCGCTTGAGAGGCTGAGGCAGGAGAATCATTGCAAGTTTGGGATCAGCCTGGGGTACAAAGTGAGCTCAAGGCCAGCCTAAACTGCATAGTGAGACCCTGTCTCAAAAAGACAAAAAGAAATGTGATAGGCTGGTGATCTATGCTGACCTTAATGTTTAAAGCTTGTGTTCTTTTTTTTGTAGTACAAGGGGTTGAACTCAGGGCTGGGCACATGCTAGGCTCGGTACCACTGAAGTGCATCCCCAGCCCTTATAAAATGCTCATATTTTAATTCTCATGGCTTTCTCCATATTTACTGTTCATTTAAAATAGTTTTATTTTATTTTATTTAGTTTTTGAGACAGGGTCTCACTATGCAGCTCAGACTGACCTCAAACTCACAGAGATGCTCCTGCCTCAGCATACCAAGTGCTGGGATTACAGGCATGCACCAGCACATCTGGCCAAGATAGTTTTATTAAACAGAAATTGACAAGAATGGCTTAAGAACATTTTATCTGCCATCATGGGCCTGTCCATCGTAAAAGCCCATGGTGGCTACTACAGTAGCTTTTAAACCCATGGGAGTGCTTACATTTTATGTTAATTTTTTAAATTGAGCAGTAAAAGCTATATATACTTATTGACTAAACCACGTACATCTAAATTACATGAAAATTTAAAATTCAGTTCCTCAGCTGGGCATAGTGGCACACATCTGTAATCTTAACATCCTGGGAGGCTGAAGCAAGAGGATTATAATTTGGAGCCCAGCCTGGTTGATTTAGGAAATTAGCAAAACTCAAAATTCTTTAAAAAAATTTTTTTTTTAAAAAAAGGGCTGGGGTATAATTTAGTGCAAGGGCCCCGGGTTCAATCTTCAATACTGCAAAACAAAACAAAAAGCCCAGACAAATGAAAAATAAAAAATAAAATGAAATGTAGTTTCTCTCTCACATTAGCTACATTTTGAACATTCAAGAGCTGTTTGCAGCTGGTGGCTGCGGTGTAGGAGTGTAGGTGGAGAACATTCCCATCATAACAGCAGGCTCTCTTGGACAACGGGTTAGCCTCGTCTAGACATACTCGGGACTATTTTATTTCTTCCGGTATAAATTTTTTTTAAGTGCTGGGGCCTTGTGCAAGGTCAGCAGGGGCTCAGCCACTGAGTCACGCCCTCCCTCGCCCCCCCGCCCCAGCTCCTGTGTCTCTGCATCTTTGGTAGCCTACGGCTGGAGCAGGGGCTTCGCGGAGGGGCGAGTGGATACCTTCTGCACATTTCGCAGGAGACACACACACGGGTTTAAAGTTTGGCCTTGGCTCTGGTGGTGAGACGAGACAGCTCATCGAATCTGGGATGATCCCTGAGAACGTTCCGTGCTGTCCCCTCTCCAGAGCCACTGGGGGGGCCTCCGGAAGTGGTGGCAGACGCCTGAGGCCTGGGGCGTCTGTGAAAGCATCTGTGCCCTGGAACCGCGGCTTCGCTGAGCAGCCCTTGAACGCCGTCCAGATCCGGACTAGATTTGGCCTCCCCCTCACTGCCTCCAACATTGCCTCTTTCCCTCAAAATAGGATTTGGAACTTATTCTCCCTGTGACATAATGCAGCTTACAGTCCCAGGCAGGAAGTGAATGCCTTCCTCCAAGGCATGTGAAATTCTCTAGAAATGGGCTGGGCAGGGTGTTCCTTCGCCACCCTAGATGATTTTCTTAGATCTGAAAGCAGAGCATGCTCCTTCAAACTGTCCTGCAAAAGAGATTAGGCGAGCCGTGTGTGGGCGCCCGTCTGTAATCCTGGCACTCTGGGATGCCGAGGCAGGAGGATTGCCAAATTCAAGCCCTTGCCTGGGCACTTTAGTGACTTAGTAACATCCTGTCTTTAAAAACAAAGATTTTTTTTAAAGCGCTGGGGAGGTAGCTCAGTGTAAAGGCTCTGGGCTCCATCCCCAGTACTGCCAAAAAGAAGGAGGAGGAGAAAGA